AGTGGCCAGTGAGAAGCACTACTTCCTTAATACTGTGAAGTATGTGCTCACACTGGGGGCCTGCATTTCCTACTAAACTGTAGGCTCCCTGGAGCAAAGACACTGTCTTGTTCATTGTGGCATCTGCAATATCTAGCCAATGCCTGGCACACAGTGAGCCATAATGACTTTATTTGTTGATTGATGAGTGAATGGATAATTGAATGTTATAGTTACTTGACTGTGGGCTCCACCATTGTGCTTTCCTGTTCACTGTGGCACCACAAAGACAGGTAGTGTCTGGCTTTTACATTGTTGAATGATGGATGAATGAGGGAGAGAGTGAATGGGGTACATTTCCGGATCATTGGCTTCAAGCTCTTCAAGGGCAGTGGCCTTGTGTTGTGTCTTCTTGTGCTTCCCATACCACATAGCTGAGGGTCTTCTATGGGCTCATTAAAAAATAACAGACCATAATATTTAATCTCACCTGTGAGACTTTGTTATGCATACATATTTTTCATAGACAAAATTTTTCTCAAAAAATGATTAAATTTTATGTACTATTTTGAAATCTGCCTTTCATTTAACACTATGTTATGAATTCTTTTCCCATATCAATACTGTGACTATAAACCAAGTTTGGCAAACTTTATTTTTTTAATTGAAGTATAGTTGATATACAATATTCTATTGGTTTCAGGTATACAGCAAAGTGATTTGACAATTATATACATTACAATATACTCTTCACAGGAAATGTAGTCACCATCTGTCACCATACAAAGATATTACAGTATTATTGATTGTATTTCTTATGCTATACTTTTCATCCTTGTGACTTATTTATTTTATAAATGGAAGTTTGTCCCTCTTTATTCCCTTCACCTATTCTATCCATCTCCCCCGTTCCCCTCTCCCATGGCAACTACCAGTTTGTTCTCCATGTTTATGAGCCTTTTTTTGGTTTGTTTATTATTATTATTTTCTTAGATTCCACATATAAGTGAAATCATGTGATATTTGTTTTACTGTGTCTGACCCTCTAGGTCCATCCATGCTGTTGCAAATGGCAAGATTTCATTCTTATTTATGGCTGAGTAATATTCCATTATATAAATGTATTACATCTTGTTTATCCATTCATCTGTCTGTGGATGCTTGGATTGCTTCCATATCTTGGTTATTATAAATAATGCTGTGGTACCTATAGGGGTGCATATGTCTTTTTGAATTAGTGATTTTGTTTTCTTCAGGTAAATTGCAAGAAATGGAATTACTGGGTTGTATGGTATTTCTATTTTTAATTTTTTGAGGAACCTCCACACTGTTTTCCATAGTGACTGCACCAATTTACATTCCCACCAACAGTGTAGGAGGGTTCCGATTTCTCCATGTCCTTGCCAACACTTGCTATTTCTTGTCTTTTTGATACTAACTATTCTGACTGTGAGGTGAGATCTCACTGTGGTTTGGATTTGCATTTCTCTGGTTAGTGATGTTGAGCAACTTTTGATGTGTCTGTAGCTCATGTGTCATGAACATCTTTTCATCTGTGTGTTTTCTTTAGGAAAACGTCTATTCAGGTCCTCCTGGTGAATGTTTTCTGTAAAGGGCTAGATGATAAATATTTTTGGCTTTGTAGGCCCTTTGGTTTTCATGGTAACTATTCAGCTCTGTCATTGTGAAACATGCTACACAGAGTGATGCCTCCTATTTTCTGAGCTCATTACCTCTCCCCTGTAATAATTCAAAGCAGCCGCAGATGATACATAAATGAATGAGCATGGCTGTGTTCCAGTCTCTATTTATAGACACTCAAATTTGAATATCATGTATTTTTCATGTGCCACAAAATATTTTTTTTCTAACCACTTAAAAATGTAAAAAACCATTTTAATGTAAAAAGAGACATGAAAAATATAAAAAAAACAGCTCATGGGTCATATGAAAACAGACAGCGAGTCCAGGCTTGGCTCATTTATAGTTTGCCAACCCTTGTTCAAAATAGAACTGACTAAGTGGCATAAGACTGCAGTATGGCTGTGCTATATATTTATCAGTGATTCCTTAGGTTATTTGTGATTTTTTTGCTCTATGCTTCTTTGAACAGATTTCCACATCTTTACATATTTGTCTGATTTGTTCATTCATTTAACATGTTTGTTTAGAACCTTGTATGTGTCAAACACCTTCTCAAGGCATGGGCTGGAGCAGGTGAAGGCAGGCAGTCTGTTCCTGCCTTCATGGAGCTTATATTCTTGATGGAAGCACAGGTTTGCAGGCTGGTGGGAAGGATGTAGGAGAAGGGAGGGAGGCTAAAATGCCAAGAGCAAAGCCCTTGAGTCTGGAAGAGGGGATGGCATCCAGGGCACAAGGGGAGGGGTTGTCATCCAGTAGGATTAGGCTCAGTCCTCTCATTTTAATAGGCTGGAAAGCTGCCCCTGAAATGCGAACATAGATTTAGGCAGGATAGACTCTGGCAGAGAGATTAGGTAGTACCCTCCTGATTGTGACTGTCTTAGGGAAAAAAGAGGCAAGGTTATCAGCTAGGAATAAGAAGGGGAGAGAGGCTGTGGAGATTTGAGGAGAGAGGAGTCAGTGTAAACAGTTTTCGGAGAGAGTGGAAGGTAGAATTGATGGGAGAATGTGAGAGATTTGTCAGAAATCTAAGTGTCCCCTGAACTTTTGGTTTATAGTAAGTCCTTAATCAGGACTGTTGTGTGTGCTTGCCCAGCTATGTTCTGCCAATCAGGTGCTGGCATAGGGTAGGTGGAGGGTTGAATGTAACCAGAATGGGCTTTGCCAGGTAGAAGGAGTTGGCAGTATATGTGATTCTCTTTGCCAGGTGGCAGGAGTGACTCTCATTAAGAACCTTAGAATCGAAGCTTCTAGGGGAGAGATGTAAGAACAGTGGGAGCAGTGAGGATGTGGTAGAGCAAATGAATAGTAAGTACCAGTGGTTGAGGAATTGTTGCAGGGGAGATGTAATGAGCTCAGAAAATAGGAGGCATCACTCTGAGTGTAGGATATTTGAAATTGATATTTTTAAGCTGGAGCAGGTGTAACACCAAACTAAGCTGTGACCCGGAGAGTGGGTTGTTGGGGTGGGTTGAAACATGAGAGATGTGAAATGAGGCAGCCCAGGGTATTAGAAGGATGCTATATGTAGATGCTGAAGCCACTGAGAATGATGACAAGGGTTAGAATGGAGGGGAAGGCAGTGTGGCGGGTGAACTGGGGTGTGTGGGAAGTGGCTAGAGGACTTGGCCGAGGAGGGAGAAGCCATGGTTTACTGGTGGTGTGTGCTTCAAGGGAGCTGGGTCTGGGAAGAGGAAGGAGAAGAAAAATGATCTGGGGGCACTGGGGGGACACGTGCACACCCCGAGGTCCATGCTTTGTGAACAGAAACAGCCACCACTTGAGAGCAGCTGTAGGAGAAAGTATAGACTTAATCCCATAAGATTTCTGCTTAAAAAAAAGAAGAAGCACACTTCCAGGATTTGATGTACTGTTGGCAGATGGCTGTTTGTACTAATTTAGTATTTCACCAGGAGATATGAGAGGTCTGTATTCCCTCACTCTCAGTAACACAGGATACTGCCAGTCTCTTAATATTGACAAAACTGAGAGATGAAAAAATGGCATCTGATGGTTTAAAATTTTTGTTTGTTTGTTTACTAGTGAGATGGGATATTCTTAAGTTTTGCTGTTTTCTTTGTTTTTTACCATTTTGTTGTTCTTTTTCATAAATTGCTCCTTTATTTCCTCTTGAAGGTGTCTGGATGAGGCAGGTACCCTGGGAGTGTTTTCTACCAGCTGCCCCTCATAGGAGATCAGATCACATTTGTTCAGTCTCCAGAATATAGGCTGAAATTGAACCCCTGAATGAGTGTAAAGGGTCATTTCCATTTGGGGTCCTAGGGCACCACACACAGTAAGAAGCAAATGGGGGAAGGACTGCCTGGGCACGTGCCAGAGGAGACATGTGTGATGACACGGTCTGGGGTTCCCTGAGACTCCTCCAGTCTGGGATGGCCAACAGCCAGGCTGCTCCCTAACTTTTGGGGTCAAGAAATACCAGAGCAGGCCCTAGTTCTCACTAGCTTGTCGTAGTTCTAATGATAGTTGTCAAAGGTTCTCCCTCATTCATACACACATTGCTGGAAAGGTCAGTTAGTATTACCCTTGTGGGAGGCAGTTTGGAAATCTCTCATAAAATTGCAAAATGCTGATACTCTGCTTAGCAGGTCCACACCCAGGAATTCATCCTGTGGATACACTTGGGCTTGTGCAGCATGTTTAAGATCATTTGCTGTAGCTTTGTTTATAGCACCAAAGCTTGAAAATAACCAAAATGTCCAGCAATAGAAGACTATTTAAATAAAGGACGGTATAATCATACAGTGGAATAAGATATACAGCCTTTTACAAAAGAAAGAGGGATCTCTTGATATGTTAATATAAAAAGATCTTCAAGATACTTTGTTAAGTGAAAAAAATTAAGTTACGCAGAAAGTACTGGATCTGGTGTGCCACCATTTATGTAAAATGGGCAAAAAAGGAAAGAAAGAAGTCCATATATGCTGGTATATGTACATAAAATGTCTCTGGAAGGATCTATTAAGAAACTGGTAATGTACTGTCTCTCTGGATGGCAGCTGAGTCACCACAGGTGAAGAGTGAGAGGGAAATTTTGTCATTCTTTTTGCACCTTTTGAACTTAAATGTTGTAAAGGCTCAGAGACATCTTCATACAACTCCAGGGGCACCATTTACTTGCAGTCTTTCAGAAAGGACACTCCTGGGGCTGTGCTGTGGCTCCATGGGGCTACTTTATTGGATGCGTTATCTATTAAAATAAAAACTAAGGAAAATAGAAAAGCTTGGCCCATAGAGTTAGTTCTTGGGTAATTTTTTTGTATGTTTGTTTTTTAACTAGAAATGTTGTACAATGGCCATAATTTTAATTGTCCAATACTAATTGTTCAAAATTCGTTCTCCTCTTTGATTTTCATTAGACGCCCTCCTGCAAAACGGCCCAACTATGTTAAGTTTGGCACTCTGGCCCCTTTCTGCTCTCCCTGGGAGCAGTTAACTCGAGACTGGGAATCGAGAGTTCGGGCCCAAGAGGAATCATCTGTAGCTTCCTCTCCGAGTGGTGAGGAGGGTGACTTGAAGCGAGTTGAGGTGCCCTGTGCGTCCACGCCTGAAAACACTCATCGGTGGTCTGATGAAGTGGGTACGTCCCTAAGTGACTCCAGTGAGCCCGAAGGAGTAACGATGGACACAGGGTGTCCAGCCCAGGCTGCAGAGTGGATAACGGGCCAGGATACTGCTGGGAGGCTCCTCTGCGTTCTTAGGTAAGTACACACCATTTTGGGTACATTTTGGATTGCTGTTTAATCCTGCCCAGGCTACAGGATGTAAACGTCATCATTCCATCATGCAAAAGCCCAAGTGAATTTATGGACTTTCTGAAAGGAAAAATCTCAGTATATCATAGAGGGCCCAGGGAAGTGGCTAAATCACATTTGATTTGGGGCATGATATTGATGAAAATTATTTAAAATATTGTCATCAGTAGACATAAACTAAGGCAGTTGTCTTCTATGAGTGTTGCATTTTGCCTGCTCACAGAGCAATGCCCTCTCCAGTGTGATCTGAGGGAATAACTCTGCAAACTATTAGTAAGCAGTCTTTGCTTTTAAGTCACTGAATCAGATTTCTTATAGTTCCTTTCAAATGATCTGAATTTGTGGCTGATCAGGTACTCATTCTTTGTGATGTCATCATGTCATAGAGGCGCTGTGTCAAATGTGTTCTTCTCTCAATGCTGCAGCAGACTATTAGATTTTGCTTATCAGCTACCCTTTATTCTGTGCTCTGATTTATAAAAAGTGCTCATCCCCTTGCCTTATACTTGTTTTCTTTACAGTAACCTCATCATTTCATATCCTTCTATTTTCCTTTTCACATTTCTGTCCCTTAGAGTTTCTTTTCTCATCGAAATATCAGCTCCTTTTTAATCCTCTCACTGTGAGGACAGCCTTAGATTCTATTCCACTGTCTTATTTTTCTCTGATTTCAACTTCTTAAGCCTTTATTCCTTCAGTCTCAGAATAGTAGATACATAAAAAGAAATATGTCATTATGAAAATGTCTTAATATATATTTCTAATTTCTTAAAAATCACAGGTTTGGTCCTTTGCTACAGAGTATAAAAAAATCAGATTAGCTCTAGTGATGCCCATTCTTCTAACTACATATTTTCTCCTTGAACAAAATATCCTTAAAAGTGTTTCAACCTCATGTAGGAGTAGAAAATCACTGAAACAACTGTCAGCCTGGTGTGGGCCCAGTGCTGGGGACAGCTGGGCAGCCCGGCGAGCTCCAGCTAGAAGGCAGCAAGAACTGACCAGAGAGGCCTGTCTGTCCATTTTGAACTGCTTTCCCAGGGCCCTGGTATGGGTCAGCTTGTCCCTGCTCAGGAAGGGCAGCCCTGAGCCACACACCATGATCTGTGTCCCAGCCAAGGAGGACTTCCTCCAGCTCAGTCAGGATCGGCTCTATTGTGGACCTAAGGAAGCCAAGCACAGTGACCCATTCAGAAGCAAGATACAGAAAGAGAAAGAAAAGAAGAAAATAGAGAAGAGGCAGATGCGAGGACATGCTGCATCTGAGGGCCTGGCAAGGGGGGATTCTGCAGCCAGGCACTGCGCTCTGACCCTCGGCTTATGGGCAGGCCCTCTCCCCGTTGTGACTTCTCACTGCTCCAGAGCTCTCCTTGGCTTTGTCACACAGGGAGATTTTTCCATGGCTGTTGGCTGTGGAGAAGCCCTGGGGTTTGTTAGTTTGACAGGTTTGCTGGATATGCTGTCCAGCCAGCCAGCCACAGAGAGAGGCCTGGTATTGCTGCGGCCTCCTGCCTCTCTGCAATATCGGTTTGCAAGGATTACTGTGGAGGTATAAAAGCCACTTTACACTCTTGCAGAGTAGAGGTAATAACTGTTTGCCGATCCCCACCATTGGGGGTTTTTGTTTTTTTGCTGCCTTCTGTTTCGAAATATCATGTGAAATTCCTTGGAAACAGGAATAAAAAAGCATTATGTATTATGCAAATGATGAAATTTTTATATCATTCCAGTAATATTCTATCTTTCCCTGTCCTTGCTGTAATGCTTCAAAATTATTTGGCATATATTGCCAAAAGCTTTTATATTTTGATCTCTTTCCTTGATCTTTATAAGTCTTTCTGAAAATAACTCAAAGCCCTACATTTGCTCATCCCCTTTTTTATTAGTAACAAAGGGCTGTCGAGTATATTTGAAAAACCTTGTAGTCATGTGACAAGCAACAATGGTTGTTTAATGATTTGTTACACAAGAGGAAGACTACAAACATCTGGCCTCTGTACATGAAATATGGGCCCCTGTCTGGGCCACGTTCAATTCTGTACTGTAATCAGCATGCCTAACACTTTACAGCATAAAGAAGAAAATCATGGAAAATTTATTGCTGCCTGTTTCCAGGCAGGCTTGGTTTATGGCAAGAATGTTGGGATAGAATTAGGAAGGGGGCCTGATTTGTACTGACCCCTTATCCTCTTTGCTGTTGACCAATATGTGATCCTAGGAGTTAATTTTTCTGTGCTTTTTGTTTCTGTAAAGAATTTCTCAAAGCCGTAGAGGAGCATTTCTCAAAAGATGTTTCATGAAACGTGTTATCAAAAAAAAAAAAAAAACAAGATTCTGAGGTCAGATTGATTTGGGATACTGTGGGTTAGACATTGAAGCGTTTCTTTTTAAAGGACTTCTAGAACCTTCCACGTGATAATGTGCATTGTTAATCCCCAGGAAGTGGATAATACCCTACAGTATTTCCTAAATCTTTTTGATTCCAAAGCTCTATTTCAAGGAGCACTCTGTAGGGCCAGTGTTTTAAGAACATGCTTTGGGGGATGCAGCTGCACAGTGCATTGCTTACCTCTGCAAGGTGATGATGAGAATGACCAGCTGCTTTTAAACATGAAGGCCGGCTCGTCCGGGGTGTGAAAGAGGTCTCATCCTCTCCATAGAAAGGGTGGCATCATCATTGCCTTTTTTCACTCACAGAGGAAGAGGTGCTCATTACCTTTGAGTTGCTGTGTATATCTCACTCAGTCCCTTATTTTCCCACCATAAACTTGTAGCAGAGCTTGAGTGGGATTTTCAGAAAAAATGTAAATGTACAGTTAGGTGTTATTCCTTGTAGATGCACTGACTTTTCTCTCCTTGGGTGGTAAATGCCTTTGGAGATGATGCTTTGAGGTGGGATAGAGCACATGTTACAATACAGCAGCCAATGAAACCCCTGATGTTTCTTCTCTCACCATGCCTTGGAACGCATTTGTGTCCAACCCAAATGAGACTGCAACAAATAGTGTAACTTAATGGTGTCTGTACTCAGAATAAATTAAAATGTCACCTGATGTTCAATTACGAGTATTTATTGGACCACTCCTCATTTGTTTTCTGGGCTCTAAGACACTTCCTCTGTGGCTCTGCTCGCTTGATGACAGAAGTCTGAGTGTGCTGTGAGTCACCTGACCTTTCTCTGTTCAGCACCCTGCCTGGGGCCCACTGCCCCTCCTCATTACAGGGGCTAGGGCATGATTGCTCTGCTTTGTGGAAGGAGGTCAAAGAAGTATGTGGGGAAAGGATAGACTTGACTTCCCAAACTGTATTCCTGGAGCACCGTTTATTTTTGAGAGAAGTGTCCCATGCCTAAATAGATTTGGGGAAAGCCATATACTCTATCCTTCTATGCAGATTCATAGTGAATGAGTGTAGTCAAGGCTCTGCACATACCTGCGGGATGGAAATCTCTTTTATGACCCCTCCCCCACTTTTGTTTTGTTCCATACCTATTGTCTGGAGAACACTAGTTTCATGGAATACACTTGGCAAAACACTGTACCAGAGTCTGCACACATGCAGTAAATAATCCATTTCCGTTATGAACAGGACTGATAGAAATGGTCTTATTCTCTATAGCAATGAATGAATGAAGCTGTTTATTTTGATCCTACAAGGTGCCTGCCCTTGACCACAGCTGCAGAGTTCCTAAATAAGTATGTTAGGGCCCCTGCCCTTTTGTCTAGGTGCAGGCCTTCAGAGTTCACCAAGTCAGGAAGTGTTCTAAAAAGGAGAGTTGTGAACTTCACACCTGGGAGCCAGCTTCACACCTGAGTTGTGTATGAAACAAAATTGTTTCTTTCTATGTAATTATGCTCTTTTTTATATGACTCAAATCATACTTATATTAATAATTCATATTCACTGTAGAAAACTTAGCAAATGCAGATGAGAACAACAATAACAAAATTTGTATCACCTGCATTTTTACCACCCAGCATAACTGCTGTTACCTTTCTGGCTTGTACCCTCCTAGCTTTGAGATGTGAATAGTGTTAGTTAATTGCTCATATAAAAACCCTGTAGTACATTTGCAGCTAAAGTGCATTTGTCAGTTTCTAATGGAGCTTGATTAGCAGGAACCCCAATGTTCCTACTCCTTTTACTGGAAATAGGCAGCTAGTAGGTAACTGTCCCATCATGTGCTCGAAGTAATGCTGCTGTCTTGGCAGCTACAGCCCTAGGGTGAGTTCTTTTATACAGACAGTGGAAGTGAGGTGGGCAGTTGATGGCTGCAGGGACTCCACAGTAGTCTGAACCATGGTCAGGACAGAGCTGCTTGGTAAATAATAGAAGATAAGAAAGACTAGCAATTGCAGGTCCCTCGGAGCAGCAACCCCAGCCGCTCAGCGGTTCTGGTCACTACAGGCTTTCCCGGAACAGGAGGACCACAGTTGCTGGCTTGTTGACAGCAGTGGCTTTCAATCCTGGCTGCACGTTAGAATTACCTGATAACCCTAATCTCCTCCCAGAAAGGAATCTGGGACTGGGCCCTAGCATCAGTATTTTCTTAAAGGCTCCCAAGCCATTCTCATCTGTGACTTGGGCTGAGGACTGCAGCTTTAGGAGATCGGGCTACTTGAATCCCCTGCACTTCAGGAAAATGTGTTGGTAACGAGGCTTTGGAAACCTTAAACTCCTGTGCCTTTAGCAGGCCCAACTCCCAAGGTCTGTTGACTGCATTGTGAAGCAGCCACATGGGGACTTAATGACAACACAGTGGTGAGAGCTGGGTGGCCCTGAGAGGGGGCATCTACCTGGGGAAAAGGCCTGTTCTTGGAAAAGAAAACAGCCTGGCTCATTATTACATAATCACCACTACCTTGGAGTCCAAAATGAGGTCTTCTACTGTTTTGTTTTCTCCCCGTGAGTTTCCTTTCAGATCAGCTGCTCTCGGCCTTGGCTGCAGGTTGGATGTACCTGAGGAGGTTTCCAAACCTGGGTGCCCAGCTCCCACCCCCAGCGGTACGGATTTAACTGGTGAGGAGTTTGGCCTGGACATTGGGATTCTTAAGAGCTCCCAGAAGTGACTTGCAGCCAGGGTAGAGAACCACTTTTCCAGACTTAATATGAGGTTCCAACATAGCTGGGCAAGGACACAGAAACTTACCCGTAGTGGGGAGCCATGCAGGGTGTGAGTGGATGTAGGCTGTCTTGAGCAGGGCACATGGCTGTCATTGATGCCCCTGGTTAGGGTCCTGCTGGATCTGAACAAATAGCCAAGTTCATGTAATGACATTTTCCCTCCCCACCTTTCATAAAAGTAAAATTGACCCATGTGCCATCCTGGGTAACACAAAGTAAGAACTTATCCTGCCCATCTGTGTGCTTTCACTTAAGGAATTGTTTACAAACATGGAACTCTCCTAGTTCCTTCTCTCCAGTTTCAGCCTCACTCTGCATTGAGCACGCTGGTCTTTTGGTTCCTTGAAGAGCCAAGTTCTTGGCTCCTCCATGACTCGAGTGACTAGGCGCGTGCTCTGCCTTCATGGAATGTTCTCGCCCCTCCTTCCCCACACTTTCTGCACCCCTGTCCCTTCTCATCCTATCCTTCTGAGCTTGAGTTTATGTTTCTCAGAGAGGTCTCCTCCTGCCTACATTATTTTCTATCACACAAGGGGTTTATTTCTCAATGATATCACAATGTATATAGTAATTCTTTTGTTACCTACTTGTTTATTGTCCACTTCATTAGGTATGAGCCTCACGAAGGGGAAACCATGCCTTATTTGATTACTGTTGCACCCCAGTTTCTAGCCCAATCCTAAACTCATACCTTGTGTTTGTTTTTGCTGAATTGATGTTGATATGCAACGGTGAATTAAAATGTATAGTAACTATCTTATCATGTGCATATATTGTAATGGATTCATGAGCCACTAGATGGTGCCAAGACCTCATGAGAAAACAGCCTGCTCAGGAACATCAGAACCAAAATACAGTTCAGTCATGTAGTGTGTCTTTGGAAGAGGGGAGTTTATGAGGCTACAGATCAATTAATATTCTCTTTGGGGCTGGCCCATACTGTTAAAATCCTAGTGTAAAGAGGCTCCATGAGTTTTTAAAGAGGAACCTAGAGAAGAAACAACTTTCAATGTTCCTATCTAAAAATGAATCTCATCCACAATAGACTTGCCCCCCATCATGAGCTGAATGCCCCAAATGATGGGGAGCTCATTACTTTATAAGCAGATGCCATCTCCCATGGTAATACTGACGGGCAAACTTCCCCATCAGCCCCAGCTAAAGCCCATCTTCCCTGGCTCCTTACTTAACTCAGCTAACATTGAGAACCAGGCCTTTCATTTTCAGAAGTCAGTTACTAACCTTTTTGTTTTTTCTTCCCCAATCTAAACAAGTCTCATGTCTTTCTTTAGCTTTCCTTCTCTTGTTTCCCACATTTCACAGAGGACCTTAAATTATGTTTTAGGGCAGGACAGTTTGTTCTCAGAATCATCCTGCACGGCTGCGTGAGCCTCAGGCAGGGCTGCTGGCTCTCCTGGGCGTCTCAGGGGTTCTGGGTCGCCGTGTGCCCTGTCTGAAGCCTCCAGCCTCCTCCTCCCTTGCTCTTCAGGATTTAGCCGCTACTGCTTGAGCCATGTGTGAGCTTGGTTTTCCTCAAAGCTGAGCCTGGGATGGCTTACCTGCAGGTAGTTTATTTTAGGGAGTGACCTAAGGGGAACAGGACTGTGGAGACGGCAGAGTCAACTGAGGAAAGAGTGGAAGCTGATCCAAGCTTGCATTTTTCAGCTGGTTACCTGTATAGGGGGTGCACCTCTGAATTATCCACATGAGACCCCGAAGAAGGACTTTATTTACCAGCTCTCAGTCCTACTGGTCAAAGGTTGCCCTGGGGAGTGTTCATTCCCTTGTACCTCCTGGTTTGCACAGGTGCCAGAATGGCTGAGTCTGTTATGTGGGCATCCCATGGAAGGCCAGCAAAAAGCCCCAAAGGTAGAAACAAGAGGTGTAGCTATGGCAAGGTATTGCTGGGCTATACCTGTTCCCAGCAGGTTGCTGCAGCAAAGGCTGAACAAAAAAGTATGCTGAGGGAATGTGGGCCAGGGTAAAAGATGTCTAGCACTGAGCCCTCAGGAGACAGGGTGACTACTTGCAATTGCAACTTTTGAAGAACCAAGGGGTATATATGTCAGGGCGGGGTGGGGGTGCATGGCAGGAAGTGTCAAGGGTGCTTGCTGACACTCTGGAGTAAGTACCAGCAGTTGGCATGTAGACTCTGAAATTGAACTTGCCAAAGTGGGGAGCAGTTATGGTCCAGCCACTGCAAATCACACAGGGGATCTGTGCCAAGAGCCTTTCTCCCTTTTGCCAGCACTGCCTGGCGCAGTTCTGAATTATTTCCCATTCTATGCCTGCAACAGTCATTAGGAAATAAATCCCAAGACTATTGTCTGGTAAGAAAAGAACCCAGTGATCTGCTGGCTCTGGGCTGGCTTTCCTGCCAACCTTGCCCAGCTGGCTTCCAGCTTCCCTTCTGCTCACCACCACATGATTTTTCCTCTCCCATTTTAGCAGTTCCTCTCTCAGCTTCCCCCATGCCTGTAGTCCAGTTTATCTGTTTCCTTAGTAAAAGGTTGGGGGGTGGGGATTGGTCACTATGTAAAACGTGGTCCTGAGACCAGCAGCATCAGCATTAGAAATGCAGCATCTCAGGCCACATCCCAGACGTGAAACAGGTCTGCCCTTGAACACAGGCACTAGGGGATTCATACCCACAGGGAAGTTGTGGGAGCAGTGGGTTGTCAGTGGTTTCTGAACCTGCTTATCATGGGAAGCATTTGGAGGGGTTGCTAAAGACAAAGTTCTGTGCATCTGAGTGTGGCCCTGAAATATATCGTTTTTACATCGCTCCATGTGTAATTCCAACAGGTCATTTTTGGGGATCATGCTTGAGAATCACTGGGGTAGGCATCTTTTGTGTTTTTCCACTTCTAAGATTCTGATATTTTTGCCACTGACTTTTCACAAATGTGAATGTCACCCTTTTTGAGTG